GTCACCAGTGCAGTACAGTGTCATCATATAACTGGTGTGGCGGTGATCAGGGACACTGACTGGTGACAGTACGAGAAAAAAAATCTTTTTTTTTTTCTTACATTTTTTTTTACAATTTCTTTTAACACACTGACCAGAGTAATATAATGTTACCATAGTAACATTGTAATACTCTGAGAAGTGATTAAAATTTTTTTAACCCATTAGGATTGCTTTTAGCAGTGAATTTCACTGATATAAGTGAGCAGTTAACTGAATGAAATTGATTCATTCAGTTTGTTTTTGTAGTGATTAGCTGTAATTGGCACAGCTAATCACATGGTACAGATTGGCTGTGATTGGCCCTGTCTGTACCATGGAATCACTGTGACCAATCACAGCTAACAACACAATTGTAAAAATGAATGACATGGATCGAAGTAGTTCATTGTTTACAATTGTCATGTGATCTGCTGTGATTGGTCACAACAAGCACATGGTACTAGCAGCTGGCTGTTACACTTATCAGTCACCAGCTGTGTCTAGTGGACACAGCTGGTGAAAGATCATGTTCACAGTGCAGCCCTGGGAGGACATCATATGACATCCACCCAGAATGACAAAAGTCCCGACCAGCCATCAAATTGCTAAAAGCCAGGCAAGTTGGTTAAAGCAAAGCGACCCCCCCACAAGCAAAATTGTTATAGGAAGTCTTTGGTCACAACATACACTTTCAATGTATAACATCAGCACTGTAATAACAATACGAACAACAGTTATTTTTGACAATCCAATATAATCTTACTTGATAAATCTTCTTTCGTGTTGTGAGTGCTGCCTGTCTGCTGGCTGCCTTCTTTCACAACTTCCTGGATTCCCTGCATGCTTTGCAGCTTCTCCTCTGCTGTTTACTTCCAATTTCCAAGGACTGCATATCCCATGGTACCTTGCTGCCTGCAAGCAGTGATTCCTGTACTGACCCCGCCTCCTGAAACACCTCCTCTCAGCACCTCTGTAGTTCAGAAGGCAGGCTCTGTGAAATGTGTGACACAGCAGTGCCTCCCCACAGGGCGTAATGACTACATGCCACAGAATTCAAGGATATATATGTGCAGGATCTTCACAAAGGAAGCTTACAAACTTTAAAATGCTTCAGATTAATAGGAGCAGGCTAAAATAATTGCAATACAATGTGGAACTAAATAGATGTTTTTACATTTGACCATAGATATGCTGTAAAACAGCTGTTACCTGTAAACAAAGGTGGTGCATACCAGGGGTGGACTAACCATTGGGGAACTCGGGCACTGCCCGAGGGCCCGGGGTCAGTAGGGGGCCCCATGAGATGTCCCTGGTAGCTTTCATAGGCTTTTTTGGGTGTGATTTGAGTGTGGGCGAGGACACAGGGGCCTCATGATCCCTTATTGCCCAGGGGCCCCATGAGTTGTCAGTCCGCCCCTGGTACATACTCACCTTTCTGAATACCTGCACCACCAGACACTGCTGCAATCACTAGAACCGGTCTTCTGAAGTCCAGCGGGAGACTGACTCTTCCAGCAATGTCCGTCACTTTGGTCCCCTGAAGCTTTTACTGATTCCTACCTCTGATCTCATGTCATTTCTGTGGTGATGTGAGATATGAAGGGAGAACCAGTGAGAGCTGTGGGGAACCCAGGAAATGTAAACTCCCATAGGTGTTGGCTTTCCAGTAGACTTTAGCGGGCCATTTTCAGTAACTGTGATTGTGCTGGGCACTGCAGGCAATGGGAAAGGTGAGTTTGTTGGGTTTTTTTTAAACAGGTAACATTTCACAAAATGTTACATGTATAGACTCCTCTAGTGTGCTACTAAAATAGTGTATGAAAATCTATTGTGTATGACTCATGATAACTGTGTGAGTCTGTAGAAAATGCATGTTGCCTGCCTGTGCAGAGCTTAGGGGTATCTGAAAACACAGTGGCCTTCACGAGGGTAGCATTACACATGTTCCACCCTAAAAATGGGTGTAACATGTTCCCAAAGGTGAACTTATCCTTTAGGCTCCTTTCAGACACGGCGGACCTGCCAACAGATCCCTTTGCTCAGTGGGAGATCTCTCTGCTGATCCCCGATGACCAAGCTGATGACAGGTCTGTGTCCACTTCGCTGCTACAGAATGGACACAGACACAGCCTGCTTTTCCCTATGGGGCTGTTGGATGGAAAAGGACTGCCAGTCTGTTTCCATGTGACTGTCATCTGGTCTGATCTGCCAGACGAATGGGGAACCGATCCTCATGTGCCTGTTTTTAGCGGACAGGATCAGATCAGATGTCGGTGGGTGTCAGCAGACATATGTCCGTTGACACCCTCCACTACAAAGAGGGATATGGATGGTCCCATCGTGTCTGCTTGAAAAACTGCCAGACGGACCCGATCGGATTGTCAGTGTGAAAGGGGCCAAACTTGCATACTTCCCAGCTTACTGAGTTGAGATCTCTTAGCCCAAGGTATGTAGGCAAAGGACGCATCCCTGCCAGGACCCCATGGACTAGGACGAGTTACTACGCAAAAAATTATTGGTTAAAACCACACCTTTTTATCATTATATTTTCTTGATTAAATCCCAACATCATTGCCTGAATACTAAATTATTGAACATGAAGGATTTATTACCTGTATACATCTTAAGGTTATCTTTAAACATATATTGGTAAGATCATTTAAAACTTGTAATATGTATATTTCATTTCACATATCCCCATCCATCTGTTTTTGGAGTACAGGATCAGATCGGATGTCGGCAAGTTACACCTGTCAGTCCATAGAGGTCTATGGATGGTCTGATCGAGTCTGCCTGAAAAGCTGACAGGCAGACCTGATTGGACCATCAGTGTGAAAGGGGCCTTAAGACCTAACTTCAGCTAAAATTTCTTTTTTTATTTTGAATAAAACAGAGTTAAAATGTAGTTACTATTCTATCTTTGATACACTGGTACACTGGTAACAGCTTCCCTCACTCCCTGTTCCTTGGCATGACATGGTGACAAAAAAATGGGAATATGGTTGTCACTGGGACAGGGATGTGGAGACACCAATCAAGATGTTTTAAGAAGATTCAAGCTTTCACAATATTGTAAACTGCTTCCCAACAACTCTATAGTGGAACTACTGCTACAGGGCGGCAGGGCTGCGCAAAATCACATATATATACACGTGATTTTGCATTTCCAGGTAGGGGGCATGCGCACCACCCTACCCGCAACGCCATTGGTGGCTACAGATGTCAATCATCAGATCCCGGCCAAAGATTCCTCACCAGCACCCGGCGATCGCCGAGGAACACTGACAGGGGAGAGACCCTTGTGAAAACAACACAGATCTCTCTCCTGCCAACAGTAACATGTTGCTGTATACTTCTCTGCACAGCAGATACATACACAGTAGCCTGTTTCCCTAGTAAAACACATACAGCACAGTTAGTAAAACAGCACACAGTTAACCCTATGATCACCCCACATGTTAACCCCTTTCTGCCCAGTGCTATTAGTACCGTGTCAGTGCTTTTTTTTTAGTACTGATCACTGCATTAGTGTCATTGGGATATCAGTGGCAGTTAGTCAGTTTCCCCCCTAGTGTCAGAATGCCCTCCGCAGTCCCACTATAAGTCTCTGATCGCCGCCATTACTAGTATAACAAAATTTTAAATTCCAGTATATATACCGCCATGTGTAGACATGTGTTGGGATTTTTTTTTAGCCAAGACATGTAACAGAATACATTTTGGCCTAAATTTTTGACAAAATTTGATTTTTAAAATTTTTTTTACTGGCTATGTTTTATAGCAAAAAGTAAAAACATTGCTTTTTTTCAAAATTGTCAGGTTTTTTTTGTTTATAGTGCAAAAAATAAAAAAATGCAGAGGCAATCAAATACCACTGAAAGAAAGCTATTTGTGGGAAAATAGGACATAAATTTAATTTGGGTGCAGTGTTGCATGACCGCACAATTGTCAGTTAAAGTAACGCAGTGCTGTATTGCAAAAAATGGCCTGGCCTGGAAGGGGGTACATCCTCTGGAGGGCAAGTGGTTAAACTCCATATAAAAAACAGCTCTCTGGTGGTAGTAATATAAAAACCCCACTAGGGGAAGTACCTTTATTGGAATAAGCAATGGAACATAAAAAACACTTTATGCTGTATATAAAATGTATAAGATAACTAATCTCCTAGAAACAATACAATATTATGAGGCTACAATTAACTATAGGGTCTGATATACCCAATGAGATGTATGGTCGTTTGAATACAATACAATGTAATGGAAGGGGGAGGGGGGATAAGAAGTGTCCAAACAAAGAACTGCTGGTAATACGTTCTTACATAATGCTATGGACTTCTAAATCTTCATTTAGACCATCGGGCACCATAGAGCCCAACTTGTATATCCAAAAAGTCTCTCTCTTACACAAGAGGGCCAACCTCTCATTGTCTGTGAGGGTCCCTTTCGTTGTTCTACATTCAATATTCAACTCCATTCATCACCACTGCACATCATCCCCAAGTGGACGGGCCGTCCACCTGACCCAGGCACTTCTTCCAAGCCACAGGCTCAAGTGTTTTTATGTTCCATTGCTTATTCCAATAAAGGTACTCCCCCTAGTGGGCTTTTTATATTACTACCACCACAGTGCTGTTTTTTCTATGGAGCTTCTGGATTTATCTATCTCAGGGGTCCTCAAACTTTTAAACAGGGGGCAGTTCACTGTCCCTCAGACCGTTGGAGGGCCAGACTATAGTTAAAAAAAAAAAAACTATGAACAAATGCCGATACAGTATAAGAGATGACCAGAGACTGTGGACATACCACGGCGGCGGGAATACTGGTCCGGCCGCTCCATAAGACACACAGGCATTTCCCCCAAGTGTGTCTTATGAAGCGAAATAGTGCCCCATCATTGGTGTCAGTGGGAGGAATAGTGCCCCATCATTGGTGTCAGTGGGAGGAATAGTGCCCCATCATTGGCGTCAGTGGGAGAAATAGTGCCCCATCATTGGTGTCAGTGGGAAGAATAGTGCCCCATCATTAGAGTCAGTGGGAGGAATAGTGCCCTATCATTGGTGTCAGTGGGAAGAAACGTGCCCCATCATTGGTGTCAGTGGGAGGAATAGTGCCCCATCATTGGTGTCAGTGGGAAGAATCGTGCCCCATCATTGGTGTCAGTGGGAGGAATAGTGCTCCATCATTAGTGTCAGTGGGGGGAGGAATAGTGCCCCATCATTAGTGTCAGTGGGGGGAGGAATAGTGCCCCATCATTAGTGTCAGTGGGAGGAATAGTGCCCATCATTAGTGTCAGTGGGGGGAGGAATAGTGCCCCAATGTTGGTGTCAGTGGGGGGAGGAATAGTGCCCCATCATTGCTGTCAGTGTGGGGGGGGGGGGGGGGGGAATAGTGCCCCGTCATTGGTGTCAGTGGGGGAAGGGGATAGTGTCCCAACATTGGTGTCAGTGGGAGGAATAGTGTCCCATCATTGGTGTCAGTCGGAGGAATAGTGTCCCATCATTGGTGTCAGTGGGAAGAGTAGTGGCCCATCTTTGGTGTCAGTGGGAGGAATAGTATGTCATTGGCGTCAGTGGGTGGGAATAGTGCCCTGTCATTGGTGTCAGTGGGGGGGGGGATAGTGTCCCAACATTGGTGTCAATGGCAGGAATAGTACCCCATCATATGTGTCAGTGGGGGAAGGAATAGTGTTCCATCGTTGGTGTCAGTGGGGGAGGATAGTGTCCCAACATTTGTGTCAGTGGGAGGAATAGTACCCCATCATTGGTGTCAGTGGGGGAAGGAATAGTGTTTCATTGTTGGTGTCAGAGGGGGATGGAATAGTGCCCCATTGTTGGTGTCAGAGGGGGATGGAATAGTGCCCCATTGTTGGTGTCAGTGGGGGGGAGGAATAGTGCCCCATAGTTGGTGTCAGTGGGGGGAGGAATAGTGCCCCATCATTGATGTCAGTGGGAGGAATAATGCCCCATCATTAGTATCAGTGACACCAATGATGGGGCACTATTCCTCCCACTGACACCAATGACACTTAACTTGCTGACCCCTGTTCCAGCATGGTGCTGCTGCAGCCAGCATACCTGGTTGCAGCAGCACCATCTGCACAGCACACTCTCCTGTCAGCTGTCCTTCTTCACTCTGGCCTCTCCCTCACTCGATCTTCATGGGGCCGCTTGGCTCCGCCTCCTTGCAGGTGATTGACCGCCTGTGTGCCTTTCCTGAGCCACAGTTCTGGCGCCCAATCACCGGTGAAGAGGCGGAGCCGAGCGGCAGCACAAACATCGAGTGAGGGAGCGGCCGGAGTGAATGAAGGAGCAGCGCTTCCTGGACTGGATCATCGTGGGACTGGGACACGAAGCCAGGTAAGATACAGCAGCCCCCTGCCCGCCCCTGTACTTAGTGTCCCTTCCTCGCGGCAAATATGCCCCTGCCGGTGGGCTGGATAAATGTCCTCGGCGGGCCACATGTGGCCCGTGGGCTGTAGTTTGAGGACCCCTGATCTATCTGATGGTAACAGCAGCAGTGGTAACTCTCCTGGGTAATGCACCATTTACTGTGATCCTTACGGTACTGGGCCTCCTCTTGCGCTTCAGAATATTGGATTTACTAGTGGTTAAACTGAGTCTTTCTTTATGTCCTTATTAAAGAGCTTTCAGATCACACCCTGTTCTGAAATCTATTAAAAACAAGTGTAGCATTTTAGTTTAGCCAGGCATATCCCCTGGAGGTGTGCATACTCACGAAACATGTTGGTGCTGACGTCATGCCGCCGTTTCCAGAACTCGGATCAGCGGCCATCTTAGTAAATCCGAACTGAATGTTTGTGTTAGCCATGTGGTTACATTTTATTGCTTTGTATTGGCAATTTTAATAAAAATACTACACTATATATACCTTTATCTGGGCTCCCTGGTGTGAGCTCCTTTCCATCCAGGGAACCTGATTGTCGGCCAGAGGCTTGAATACTGAGGAGAGTATTTGGGACATTCAGCATTAGCTATAATACATGCCAATGTATGTTTGTTCTCTGGCAAGTGCATAAGGCTGGAGGATTGCACGCGGCTGGTGATAGGGTGGAGAGGTTTTTTCTGCACCTGGGGACTCTTCATATATCTCATCTGGAGTGATTTGATGTGCCTTTCATCTGGATATACACATAATTGATTAGACACTTATATATATAATAGCACTATTTGATGGATTTTTTATACTGTTTTTTATGGTGTATTAACCCTTTATATATTGATTCATGCTAAATTTGGGTTATTCATTTTTGGAGACAATTTTTGTTAACACTGGTGTACTGTTTAGTGTTTATTGATACTGCACATTTTATGTTGATGTTGCAATGATATATATTTAGATTTGAAAGTGCTGCACTATATTTATGGGTTTACATACACTTTAAATCTTTAGACTGGCTGAGGGCCACAACGAAGGATCAAGCAGGTCATATCAATCTGTTGCAGACAGAAAATAATAATGATGGGCTATCAGACAAAAAATATAACTTGGTCTATAATGTTTTGGGTCCCATTAACTTATGTTTGTAAGAAAAAAGGGGCGCTGTTGTGCTTAGAAAAAAAACATTTATTATATATGTGAAAAAACTAACTATATATAAGAAACCTATATAGCAGCAGTCCTAAATGTGAATTTCTAAACACAAACTCGTTAATTCATATACATTGTGGTAGCATGGGGAAAAACATGCACTGACATGCAATTTTGTCACTCCTTACTCCAATTCATATTATAACGTCATTAATCCCAAAACCCAAAATGTAATACATTGCAGCTTGCAAAACTTTAGATGTGGTGACTGCATAAGATTTCTTGGGGGGGAGGATAGTGTTAAATGGACTAGCAGGTTTAGATACACTAACAAATTGAAGCTGAACTTCATTTAACACTTTATAAGCAGTTACAGGAAAAGCTTTTTTTTTACATGAATAAATGAAAGCTGAGCATTGTAAGCATCCCTGTCGGTAGTAAATGGTTTGTCTCAACCATCTAACTGCTCCATCTGCAGCTTGCCCTGTTGAAAAACAACAGATGTGCTAGTCAGATCACCTAAAAAACAAGTTACATCTAAGAAACATTAAGCTGCAATACAATATATGTTTGCTTTTGGGTTTAATACTGTTTTAAGGCACAAATTGAGTTTGTACAGGGGCGGACTGACAACTCATGGGGCCCCTGGGCAAAAGGAGATCATGGGGCCCCTGTGTCCTTGCCCAAACTCAAAAAAAGCCTATGAAAAAGGTACCAGGGGCATCTCATGGTGCCCCCTACTGACCCCGGGCCCTCGGGCAGTGTCCGAGTTTCCAAATGGTCAGTCCACCCCTGGTCTTGTATTTTCATTCAACTTAATTGACACAGCAAGGTATTAGTACAGTGCCGATCAATGCATGATCACTCCATCACACCATAATGCATATGCCATCCATTATGATGCACAGCATTACAAAAAAAAGGGACATGGCCTATTTTTTGTATTATGGTAAGCTGTTAGCCAAATCAAAATGGCCTTTATGAGTTTTAATGGTGCATATGCATTAATTAAACAGATTATCTGCATACTATAAATGTTACTGGACAGTGTGTGCCATGATCTGTAGTACCCAACATATTTCCCCATCTTCACTCAATTCCCCAAAACCTGTGTGACTGGTTCTGATTGGTCAAACTTGTGCAGTTTAGTGCAATATATGTTGCCATTGCATTTCATACACAGCGAAAAAATAAAGATGAGTCTACTTTTGAAAGGTTTAAGCATCAGTTAGTACTCTGTACAGACCAGACACAGGTTTTTACACATTGCATGACCTAAGGCAGAGGCAGATCCCCCTGTCGTATATTTATAGAAATAGCACCATGGGAGACAGCTGCAGCAATGTGTTGTTAGGCCTAGACCTCCTGGTTGGAAATTAGAGCGTTGTTCCAGCTGGACAAAGTTCAGTAAATCACTCCCTACAAGAAAAAAAAAAAAAATTAAATTTGCATGATTACTACTGATTACACAGAGCCAAATTATTACTGATTATGTTTTGCGATTTGATGCCAAATTATTCAGGGCATTTATTTAATTATAAAATCAGTATGAGTTAGTGCTTCCAGCAACCTCTAATAGGTCACATTGGTCAATTTGGAAAAATCATGTCAATCAACTGAACTATATACCAGTTGCATCAGATTCTCTCTATTTTCCTGGTCCGTACCGACCTCTGTCTGTCACCAAGCATGGAAACGTTAATCAAAACCCAACCAAGCAGGTGAAATATGTATTGTACATATCAATTATTTAACCAGCCACAAGAGAAACTTTTTTTTTACTTAACTTAATTTTGCATAGGATTAGGGCTAATCGGGATTTTATTGATGTTTGTATCACCACTGGGTGGGATTCTTTTCCTATTCCAAAGATGGAAGAGGCAATGCGGCAAATTTCCCTGAAGATGACCAAGATTTCAAAAAACTCAACAGTGGCTCTAGCCCTTCCCTACATTACCATATATACAGCACAATTTTTGACACACACTACTCATTAGCATGTCCACCCCATCAGAGTATCTTTAAAACCCCAATTTAATTTATTTTTTTCAATAAATTCATCCAACTTTACCACTTTGTGTGTTTCTTCTGCACTCATATTTAAACACTTTACTATTTAGAGGAAATGACAGGTTTCCCATCTCATCTTCCTCCCCATTTTACCTCTCTCCTGAACCTATTCAATATTTATCTCTTTCCTACTGAATATTTCTTTCTTTTTTAATAGATAATTTTTGGACTTACTAGTACATTTTTCTCTGATTTCATAATTTTATGCTTATATACCTACTTAGTTTCACTATCCTTCAGTATTTCCTGTACATATTTATAGATTCTATCTGTTCCTATAAATATTCCCTTGCCTTTATTTTTCTAATTATTCTTTCTTTCAATCTTAAATATATCCCTTCACCAATAACCTACATCAGGCATGCTCAACCCATGGTTCACAGAGCCATTTGATATGGCCTGCAACCTCAAACCTATGGCAACCCATACAGCCTTCTTTGGGTGTATGTCGCTCCACTAAATGATTGCCGGTCCTCCAAAAACCCAAAGGCTGTCATTCCCAAGCCACTATTGCAGCCAGTTCTCTTTCCTTCTTAACACACAAACAAGGGGAGAGGAGCCTTTAGCTGAGTGGATTACATCTAGTGGCATACATACAGGAGTTCTGAAGGTGGATCCTCATGGTTGTGTTGAACTTGGTGTCATTCTGGGAGCATGTGAGTGCATTATGCATCAATTTTTCTTTGCTTAATTAAGAAGTTGATTGCACTACCAGGGCAAGCCCTCCCCTGGTCTGTTGTTTTTTGTTTAGATTGTTCACAATGTTTGTTTTGGCAATTCAAGGGATGGCTGCAAAGACTGTGATATAGTGAACGTTGCAACAATGGCTTGGAGCTTTTTGGGCTGGTCACAGCTGAGCACAAGAGTAGTACTATCGAGTTAATAAAAATGTGATTTTTGTGATTTTGATTAACCTCCCTGGAGGTATTCCCGAG